TGACACTTACGCGTAAGTGTATTAAGAACTAAGACGTCCAACCGCACGCAACCCCGCAAGAAAGAGCGAACTACCGCGCTACATTGTACCCGCTTTATCCCGCTTTGTGCAGCGCACCCGCTTTAATGCAACACTAAAAGCCTGACTGCCAGAAACCAGCTGGTTTCAATTTATTATTTAAATTAATAATTTAGGTGAAATTTAAAATTTAGGTCAATTTCTCTTGAAAATTAAAATTTAGGTAAAATAGGTAAAATAAAATCAGGGTCAAATAAAATATTTTTTTTCAACACGGATTTAATTCCATTGCACCTTAACTTATGATTAGCATAGACAAATAATTAATTAAACTAAAATCCCATCTCTAAATATAAATTTATTACATTTTTTAATTGGACAAACTAAAATTGAAAGGGGTGATTATAGAGCTCAAAATATGAAAAAAGTTTCCAAGAATATGGGGTAAAAATGATTTAATTAAAATATGGTAATATTTACATTTTATTTTATCTTATAATAATAAATTTTAACAAATGAACTTTTCTGTTGCATACCCGATAGTGACATATTATCAGGGAGACCAAAAATCCCCCTGTTTGCCCCCCCCTGATCGACATCGCCCATAAGGAATTACGTTATTGGATATTTGGTTTCATTTTATGAATTTTTATTTAATTTAACAAAAAAAGATTCTTTGTTTAAAACTAGACCTTTAAAAAAAAATCAATTAAAATTTTTTTTATTCTGCGTTACGAAAGTACTAACCGCTCAGTTACCTCGAGGTATTGATTAAAATTCAACATAATCAACGTTTTAAGTTAAAACTTTTAACAGATAGTTAATAGGATACAAACTATGTCGATATCTAGTCTAACAATAAAAAAATGCATTTTATGTTTTAAGTACACCTAAGATAAAAATAAAATGTTAATGTTGAATACCATCTTTTTTCCTTATTATGCGCTTTTTTGATGGACTAAAGAGACACCCTGTATACTTTCTATGGACTATTATTGGATCCAGCGTGTATATATATATACATAATGTATATACAGGGTGTTTCAAATATGTATAAATATATAAATAAAAAAAAAAGTTTACAGTCTCAGGTTAACAGAATTAAAGTGATTTTACATCAAAAATAATATAAATATGGCATATGATACTATTTTTGTATTTTATTTGAAAATATTTGAATATTTCATTAGTGTTATTTTTGATCGCTGATATCTTTGAAACGGTTGATCTGAAGAACTTTGACCTTCAGATGTTTTTTGTAGAGCGTGAAATTGTCTATAAAACCTCTCTCTTGGCTATTGCGAAAACAAACCATTCCAAAGTTATAAGAATTCAAAATTAAAAAAATAAAAATTCCCGTGTTATCGAAATTGAAAAACTACAAATGAATTGAGGCAAACCTTAATATTAAAATTAAGACCTCAAATATGCGCCAAAATTTTTGTTTTTTAATGTGCTATTAATTTTTCAACACCATTAGAAAAAAAAATAATTTTAATTTTTTTTGAAACACCCATATATGTATACATATACATATATAAATTAGGGTGCTTCAAAAAAATTTTTTTTCGCTCTTACCCTCTCAAATGTTTTTATTTAATATAAAAAAAATCCTCACCAAATATGGGCGTTCCAGCTCAACTCTAAGAGGTCGCTGTTTTTATTTTAGTTTCCCATTGAATTAACATGGGAAAAAATTAATTTATGTTTGGAATTTTATATCTCTGTATCAAAGTAACTTATGGCAATGATCATTGCAGTTTCTTATATAAAATTTAACGCTCTACAAAAAAGCTCTCTTATTATTTTTCTATAAATTGATTTCTTCTAGGGTTATTCGAGGTCAAAGTTTGATTAACATCAAATTTTCTAGTACAATTAGCAGACGGGAGGTGAAAGGGGGAAAACTTTGACCTCGAATAACTCTAGAAGAAATCAATTTATCGAAAAATAATAAGAGACCTTTTTTGTAGAGCGTTTAATTTTATATAAGAAACTGCAATGATCATTGCCATAAGTTACTTTGATACAGAGGTATAAAATTCCAAACATAAATTAATTTTTTCCCATGTTAATTCAATGGGAAACTAAAATAAAAACAGCGACCTCTTAGAGTTGAGCTGGAACGCCCATATTTGGTGAGGATTTTTTTTATATTAAATAAAAACATTTGAGAGGGTAAGAGCGAAAAAAAATTTTTTTTGAAGCATTACTAGTGGCCGAATACTAATTATTAAAAAAACAATCTTTACCTCCGCATATTTGCACAGCTTGTAAAACACTAGATAAGTCTATTATCGATGTCTTAAACATCGTTTAAAAGGAGTCGTCGAAATGTCTAAAGCTAAAGGATTATTTCTCATTATAGTTTCTGACACTACTAATTTATGTAACAAAAGTAAATATTGCTGTTGTCAAAATTACCCGTGAGGTTTTATTAAAATTTGTATGATTTCGTATTGAGATTGACATTGACATTGTATATTGTCCGGATTAGTGTTCTGCGCATAAATAAAAACTGTTTACTTTTTCCTGTGTGCTGAAAGAGATAAAGACAAAATAATTCAAAAACCCTTTATTAATTTTTAGTGGTAATTTTTTGTAATATTTATCTTCAAGCATTCTATAATTTAAGCTGTATTATTGTTATCGCTCACTACCAAAGTATTCGATTATCTCCAAGGCTGTAAAAATAATTTAGACAAATGAGGTGAAGTGTTTTACACCCTAGTCTTTGAAAAAACCCGTTAGGACCCATTCAAAAATTCGATAACTGCTCACAACTCTAAAGCTACCTAATCTTACTTTATACTTTTAATAATAGTTATTGTTATTATATTAATTAATAATAATAACGATACATAAAATGCCCTTACAATTATACAAGTACGTTATATGTATAGTCTTACAAATAAAACTGTGCTTTGAAGATACAATGTATGAAATTCGGCTGAAAAGGGTCTTACTCAGTTTTTAGCCTTATGACCTAAATAACAATTTCTAGCACATTTAAAGTCTTAGAATTAAAGCAAACAATATTAATATAGTTGTTCTAATCATATTAAAGAGTACATTTCCTATACGTTTTCAATTAAAGAAGTGGCACAGTCTTATACCCTGTGAGAAAATGGATCTCTTTATCCACGGTTACTGTCCAATGAAACGAGATTTTCATTATTTTTTTTTAATTAATTGACACTGACAATTGTTGTAGAATTTGTGGCTATGGTAATTAAACAAAATTGTTCTTAATTCTTTGACAAACTTTGAAAAAGTAGTGTTTAACTTGGAAAATGGAAAAATTGCCATTTTCATTCGGATGAATTACTCCACTCGCCGTCGATTCGTGTCAATAATCTTTTATCTGAAATGGAAATGGCCAACTTTCTTAAAAGTTAAGCAATATACTATTTCGTTTCAATAAAATATCCTAAACCGTTTAAGTATTACACTTTTGAAATTCGAGCTTGGTTAAATCAGTCTGGGACACCGTCTAGAAGAAATTAAAAATTGATATTTCGTTTTTATTATTTAAAATGTTCAAATTGGGTATTTCTAGAAGGAAAAAAAGATTTTTGTATAAAAAGAATTGTTATATATATATATATTAGGGTGATTTTTTTTTCACGACAATTTTTATTTTTTCGCTCCCAACTCAAAATCTTGTTGAAAATGTTCCAAAAAAAATTCCCTGAAAATTTGAGCCCTTAATATTAACTCAAAGTACTCGACCAAAGCGTATAAAGATTTCCCATTTAAAATAAACGTAAACTTTGATTATTTTTTTTTAAATATCTATATCTCAGCCGCATTTTATGCTATTGGATTGTTTCAAAAAAGGATTTACTCGTAATCAAAAGTTCTACAAAAATGCTTTATGTGCCATAGCTGTAATCTGCACATGTAGGATGGTACGGGTCACTAAATCCTATTTTAGTGAAAAATTATCATATTTTTGAAGATATTTCAAAAGTGACTGGATTCTTTGAAAAAATGTAAAAAATAAACTTGTAGAAAATTTAATTTTTTTTTAAAAAAGGTCCTATCAATTTTTAGGATTTTCGTATCAAACTTTGTATAAATGATGATTTTCAATTGTTTATCAGTAAAATTTCATGTAATTACGTTTTTTTTACAGTCGGGTGATTAGAGAAAAATAAATAACTCAAACAATCTAGCATAATTATTAATAACATAACTTTAAAGAAAAAAGATATATCTAACCTAAAAATTGATATAACGAGGTGTATTACATACAACATGTTATTTTATTAATAATTATGCTTGATTGTTTGAGTTATTTATTTTTCTCTAATCACCCGACAAAGTTTGATACGAAAATCCTAAAAATTTCATAAATTGTCAATGTAAACGCTTTATATCTCAAGAAATATCAATCTTAGCGATTCAACTGATAGGACCATTTTTAAAAAAAATTAAATTTTCTACAAGTTTGTTATTTACATTTTTTCAAAGAATATCTTCAAAAATATGATAATTTTTCACTAAAATAGAATTTAGTGACCCGTACCATCCTACATGTGCAGATTACAGTTATGGCACATAAAGTATTTTTGTAGAACTTTTGATTACGAGTAAATCCTTTTTTGAAACAATCCAATAGCATAAAATGCGGCTGAGATATAGATATTTAAAAAAAAATAATCAAAGTTTACGTGTATTTTAAATGGGAAATATTTATACGCTTTGGTCGAGTACTTTGAGTTAATATTAAGGGCTCAAATTTTCAGGGAATTTTTTTTTGAACATTTTTAACAAGATTTTGAGTTGGGAGCGAAAAAATAAAAATTGTCGTGAAAAAAAAATCACCCTAATATATATTTTTTTAGATTGAACCCTTTTTAAAATATTTCTAAATAGTTCTGCATAAATACAGTTGGTTTGTTTGTGTTTGTAGGAATGATTTAATTTATTTTTAAAACTGTTGCCTCTTTTTTAATCCATATATTCGCTCTTTTCAGGACAACCAGTGCATGAGAATTAAAATCCTGGGAGATTGTTACTACTGCGTATCGGGACTGCCGGTCTCTAGGCCCAACCATGCTTACAACTGCGTCAACATGGGCTTACAAATGATTGAAGCAATCAGGTATGACATTAAACTGACAAAGACTTTTATCTCGCTAAATATTTTTTAGTAAATAAACAATCAATAAATATTTCTTTTATTATTTATTAAATTATAATATCTATATATTATTATTATTCCTTATTTTGAAGTTCTAATAAATAATAAAACAAATATTTATTGATTGTTTATTTACTAAATAATATTTAGTGAGATAAAATAAAACATTATAATTTATAAGTAATAGTTAAGCAATCTTAATTTTATTACTTTTAAAAAGTAATTGTTGTAAGTAAATTTTTAAATCCATTTAATGTTTATATTAAAATATTAAATAAAATAAGTAAGTGCGCAATTTTATTTTATTTCTTTATTTAAAAAAAATCATATTTATTTCTATAAATATAGAAAATAAAAGTTATTTAGTTTAAAGAAGTGATAGAGATCTTATCCAAACTCAAAAATCTAAAGTTGGAGAAGTATTGTTTGTATTTAAAAATAGAAACAATGTTACTTATGTAATTAATCTAATCCAAATCATTTTTAAATTATTTGAGTCTACTGTTGTAAATTTGGTTATTTTGTGGGATTTTAATGCATATAATTTTGCACGTCGTAATCTAAATGACTTTAAAACTCGCATGATTACAAATTTTCAAATAAATTTGTTTGCTCAATGTAACATCATAATAAACAGAAATAATAAATGATTAAAACAAGAGTTATTTGTACTTTCTGAATATATTAAAATTATTTTTTCGACTAGTTTCGCCTATTCGGCATCATCAGGAGATACTGAAAACCGGCAATTGTAAAACACATATTTAAATTCACATAAAACACTTACTCGTCAAATTATACATAATAGGTCATAAAAATAATAATTAATCTTAACATATTAAAATTTAAAACTTTAAACATACATAAAAGAAGCGTGCAGATATATTTGGTTAAGTTAACCCAGTGTTGCCAGACTGAGATTGGTTTAAGGTTGGCAACACCAGCATATGTCAGCGGTTGGCGACACTGACATCTGCTGGTGTTGCCAACCCTAGATGAAGTTTTGGAAAATGGGTTTGTACGAGAGGTGTATTTCTAGCTGGGTGTTGAGGCAATTTGGTCTGTGTGAATTGCTACATTTCTAGAAGGTCCTCTGTTTACAGGGTGGATTAGTTGAACGTCCTTATCCTGGTTAAAGCCGTGTCCATTGTGTTTTATGTGGTTACCAAATGAACTTTTCTTATTGTAGTTTCTTATGTGTTCAGAAATTCTTGTTGCTAGGGGGCGGAATGTTTTACCTATGTAAAAGGCATCACAGAAGCTGCATTTAAGTTTGTAGACTCCGTTTTTGTTTAAAAGTGAGAGAGAAGTTTCTTTGAAAGGGTAAGGAGTGATAAATTCTGTCTTCGGTATCAGTTAAATTGGTTGATGAGTTAAGGCTTTGTGCATGTTTCTTTAAAAGTTCTGTCAACACTGGGTTAACTTAACCAAATATATCTGCACGCTTCTTTTATGTATGTTTAAACATAACTTTAAAGTTTTAGATTTTAATATGTTAAGATTCATTATTATTTTGATGACCTATTATGTATAATTTGACGAGTAAGTGTTTTATGTGAATTTAAATATGTGTTTTACAATTGCCGGTTTTCAGTATCTCCTGATGATGCCGAATAGGCGAAACTAGTCGAGAAAATAATTTTAATATATTCAGAAAGTACAACTAACTCTTGTTTTAATCATAAACTACACTGGAAAATGGCTTTCTAATCAACAACCTAGAAATAATATACTTCTCGATTTGTGTATTTCCAATTTATCATGTGATGTAACTAGGAAGTCAAGATGAGTATCATCCCTGTTTACTAATTAATACTGAATTGTGCTTAGAAAGGTGTCAAAGATTTTTAAATAATTGATTAGATAAGTTATATAACTTTCAAAAAGCTAATTTTATCGGACTATACGAAGTTTGTAATGTTGATTTGGATTTTCTGACTTGACCCTGATTATGCTGTTGATGAATTCCACAAAATTATGTACTTATAATTTGATGAATTTCTTCCTTTGTTTTAAACCTTTAAACGAATACACCCCTCATGGTATACAGTAAAATTAATCAATAACATTAAATTAAAATAAACACTATCATAGTACATTTAAACGTAGTAAAAACATGTCTACAACATATGATTTTAAAGGATTAAAAAAATATATCAAAAATCAATTAAAAATAGCCTATAATATACATATCTTACATAACCTTTTGAAAATGATTATTTTGAGTCTGCTGTAGAAATAATTGATGGTTTTGCCAACTTCTTTAAAAGTGTTTTTGAGATTTTTAAAAGCAGTATCATAACTAGAAATACTAGTAATCATAATTTAAGCCAAATTGTTTCCAAGAAAAATATATAACAAAAGCCATTATATCTCTAAAAAATAACTCATCCTATCATAATCATAATGGTCATGATCAAATTCCCAGTTTTTTCATTTAAGATTGCCATAATTTGTTAGTTTCGCCTCTTCTTACTATTTTTAATATAATATTAAAAACTTCTAAATTTTCTTCTTTATGTAAACTTACTCGTGTCAATATATTTAAAGCTGGCAATTATCTCAACATTGGTAATTATAGACCCATTTGTCTAACTTGTAGAAGCTTTTTAAAAAGTTATTATATTTTTACATCTACAATGTTGTTTACCAGAGCATCTCACCCTATCAGTATAGTTTTATACATAAACGGTCGACAGATACTGACTTTTGTTTTTGTTCCACACTCACTTAAAATTGAGATAATAAATCGCACTTGGGCGACAACAGTGTCATAAGTAGTAAAACCTTTATTCCCAGATAATGACAGTCAAAGATTTTTTAATAATAAAATTCTCATATTTCTAAAATTATATTAACTTACAATAATTTCTTTGCAAAGGAAAAACCACCTTAAGATTCTGAGTCAGTAAAAAAATAGATTTTAGAAAATACTCTTTTTGAATAAGAGCTATTTGTAGATGTGTCTGTGTTGTCGAAGAAGGTGTGCATCAATTTTGGAGATATGTCTGTGTTGCTGAAAATATGTGCATGAATTTTGCAGATATGTCTGTATTGCTAAAATGTGTTGATCAATTTTTGAATTATTCATTCTTTTATTGTTGATTATGAATATGAGGAACTTATGGCTGGCCCCATTGGTAACGCCTTACACTGATTTCCCAGGGTTATTTTACCCCCTTTGGTGGATCCGAATTTTCATCCCGGCTGGTAAATCTCGCCTAGGTACCATTCAAAGTCGTCTTCAACCAGGGATTTAGTAATTACAACTCGGCAAATGTAGGAAGAGACTTCAGATATGAGACTGGTGCGCAAATTTTAAAGAGAGAACGCATTCGGAAGAAAAGAGATCCATGATACGGCCGAGATCGGCCGCACAGAGGACTAAAATCCCCTAAAAGCGGTTTTACGTGGTATTTGTAAAATTTTAAATTATTAAGTTATAAAATAGTTAGAACACAGCATATGCTGTGGTTAGAGCTAAAAAATTATTAAAGTTTAATGGATGTAACTAATAAAGATTTTAATGACAACTACGGACCGTGTAACAACATTATTAAAGATATTTAAGAGTAAACAATAGTAAATTTTCGATTTACTTTGAATTTTTTAAATTTACTTATACAAATGGAATAGATCAAATAGGTAAAATTTTCTACCTTAATATTGATGGGGTATTAATAAATATAATTATATTTAAGGTAAACAAGAAATGTTTTAAAGTTAAGGTATGTTTAAATGAGGTAACAAATAAAAATACGTTATAATAAAATTGTATTAGGGTTAGGTACGTTTTTATTGATATAAATAATAAGAAATGATGGCAAATTGATAATTATTTGTGAAGAACCTAGTAGTATTTACAATGGATTTTAAATCAAAATTAAAGAGCAAAGTTTTGTCAGGTCAAGCTAGAGAGGTGATAGCTAATGTTATTCTGTTTCCATTTCCATTTTAAAAAAAGTTGTTTTATTTAATAAATATTATTAATAGATAATAATAATAATAAATAGTATTAATAGATAATATAATATACTTGATTTACTTTAATTTTAATCCACTGTGCGCAACGTTCTTTACGATACGACATCTTCAATGCAAATAAATATTTTAAGAGCTGGTCACTGCGCTTCGATGGGCGTAAACATTTGACGTCTCAAGCTACATTTGCCGAGTTGTACCCTATTTAATTGGGGTTCATGAACGGGGCTTGATTGGTTAGTACGCTCCTAGGATTCATCCTTGCTGGTCTTGAAGTCTTGAAGTACTTCCTGTTCTTATATGTATGTCTCCGTCCGAGTCGGATTCGTAGCTAGCTGGCTATCGATAACGTTGCACCGCACTTTGCGGTTGTTTATTATTTCGCATAGAACGTAATTTATGGTTCCCTTAAATGTGCTTAGTAATCTACAGATGTTAATTTCTTTGGGATGAGTTTCTTTTGCCTAGTGTATATCTGAACATGAGTAATTAATTAATGACTGCTTATGTGAGCCCTTTATGAGTTCTTTGGCTAGGCTTGCTCTTCTTATAGAAACTGTTGGCGACTAATTAATTCTTACCTGGTGGAGTTCTTTATAAATTGAGGTATCCAATTTTGGTAGGTTTACTTATCTGGTTTATGCAGACTTCAGGTGCATTGACATGCAGGTGTTGTGAAATTATTTCTTAATCTCGACACCCAACTATTAGCACGTGTTGTTTCTGTGTTGGCAATCCAGAAAAAAATATTCGTTGTATCCAATAACCTTACTCACACCCTTTTTCACAGGTAGGGCACTTAGGGACTTAATCCAGGAGGAGGTGCCACCCGCAATTTGCACCCTTTTTCACTTGGTTCTGGTAGATCACGTGTATATTATTAATTGATTTATGAATTTGAACACCGATAGCGGTGGTAGCACTATGGAATTACGAACGCGTTAAACGAGACCCTAGACACACGACCGTTTGCCTTAAGG